GAACTCTCCTACAGTGCTTGCTTGCGGCGTTAACTTAATGGCACAAGCACCAGCTATGTGATACAATGACCTGCACAAGTACCTTTCAAGTTAGGGTGTTTGTTTCAAATAACGAACTAGGAAATGTTGATATAATGTTTTTACTGGCTATATAATCAGCTCAAGCAATCAACTCCAACGTACCCCATGACTATTATTTGAGCCAGGATGTGGTGTGGTGTGTTAATAGGCTCCTTTACAGCCTGCTACACGTGTTTCGGCCTTGAACAGCCTCGTCAATCGTGCAAAACTCTTCGTCTTCAGCCAGTCGTCTCGGAGTGGTCCAGCCTCTCATTAATAGTAGGCGACAACGAGCGATTTACACAATTGCTCTCAAGTGTGAAATCACTATATCGACAGCGTTGCACAGTCGATTGTTCTTGGCTGTCATTTTGAGATACTGCACCGTTCGCTCCGAGTGTTGTCTTGAAATTCCGCTGAAATTTCAATATAGCTCATAAATATTCAATAGGCAAGAGCGCATGTGGCGCAGTGGTTAGAGGTGCCCTGCGTCGCACACGAGGTCACTGGTTCGATCTCGCGCTCATGGCTCACCAAGCCATCCATCCCTCCGGGGTCGGTAAATTGGTACCAGACAGGTCTCAGACTTGTCTGGGAGGATAAGCAGCACTGACTCGGTTCAGCGGGAGGCCACCGCGAGTCATTGTAAAGGCCAGATGTGCATTCAATCACCTCAAACGAAGTTAAAAAATTGAAGTTGAATGCATGGCGCATCCCTCAGGGATTGATTAACGCCGAGAGCTTTATCCTTTTTTATATTCAATAGGCATAATATTGTTTTTTACGGTCAATCAAGTGAAATCATTACTGGATGGATAGTGTTAAACACTCGATTGCTCTTAGCTGGTATTGTTTAATATATCATACCTTTCGTATCGAGTGTTTTCCTAAGACCACGCTCAATTTTTAATATGCCTGATAACCATTTTGAGTCACATTGGTCTGTCATATAGGGCAGCTTATATGGCTCAAAAGACTTGAAACGCAAGGTATGATACATTTGGCGAAATCAGCCTAGAGCAATTGGGTATAGAACACTTTCTATTCAGTGATAATTTCACTTGATGGATCGCGTAAAACATTCATCGTTGTCAACTCTTAGTATGGGGGTAGAGCATCCCGAAAAGATTGGCAAAAGACGAAGGGTTTCGCCTGACTGATGAGACTGTTAAGGTCGAGACACGAGTATCGGGCTCTATAAATATCCTATAACAGACCACATGCATGGCTTAAAAATGGTTCTCAGGCATATTGAAAGTCGAGCATGGTCTTAAGAAAAATACTTGAGACCAAAGGGCTCATAACAATTATTTGAACCAGTATGTCATATATTATAACTATTTCAACATAACGTAATTTTTTGAGCTATCAATCATAAAGTGCCATTGAATTCTTTGCAGAGAATACTGTGAAATTCATGGTTACCGATCTCAAGTTGCCACTGGAGATGGCTTACACTACAAAGAGCGGTCTGAGATCCAAAGTTCCTTTTTCAAATAGCAAAGAAGGAGCGAAAAACGTCATAAACAGGCTTGTAAAAAATGTGGTTAGTTGTCCAATCGAAATAGTACAAATCTTTCCTAAGATGTTTCAAATATGTTGAAGATATTTCTATTCGTGAACCCTTTAACCTTCTTCTGTGTGAAAAATGACATGGTATTTACTGTATGTTTTTTTAAATTCATAATGTGTTCATGAAGGAAGGACGCATATACTCCCTTCCACTCTACATTATAGAAACGATTCTAGAACAAGTAACTGTTGACACTCATACACTCCTCTTAGGTGCAACAACGCTCTTGTGAATCAAAAACCGACAGAACCACTAACCTATGAGTTTTTGCTAGAATTTACACAGATCAGTGGAACGCAGTACAGCTGCAGTAATGCACTTCAATTTCCGACCATTCCAGTGGTGTCGCTGCTCTCGGAATGAAATTTACAATCTTCTATTGAACTTAAGAGTTTTTTGCTTCACATCGAGCTGGCTACAATGATGTGATCCCGTAGATCTTCTGGAGGACGAATTGTTTTGCTAGCTTTGTTTTTTTTTATGTCACTCTCTATTCAATACATTTCTGACGTCAACTGGCTGTCAATGAACTATTTCGCGGATACATATACCATATAGCCATCCAATAACAAAGTCATGGAGCGCTTAAGAGTGCCGTGATACGAATTATAGCTTGAGACATGGTGGTTTTTTGTGGCATGGATACAAGTCGTAACTAAACCTTTCCGGAGCAGCGCTCGCGTGGCAATGAGCAATCACTCATTGCCGATAATGAAAAGAGCACAAATTGGCATAAAACCTTAGTCAAACTGAAGCCATGACAATTTATTAATTTTTTTTACACAACACTTCAAAGCAGCTTTCTATACAGATCCCGCGTTTTTTCTTTCAATTCGTTTTCTCACATTCCGTCCGCAGTAGTGATTAGTTCACGTGCTGCTCCAACTGATAGCTAAGAGTTCCGCGTGCTTCATAAATGTCATCTAATTCTGGTTGAGGCAATTCTCCTTACAATTTTGAGCACAGCTGGGCTAAGTAATTATTTATTGCAAGAGCTTGCAAAGAGCATTTAGGTAAGGGTATTCGGTCACTCCTACGCATTACTTTGCTTACTGATACACCGCACCAGTGACCACTACTCTATCCCGCTTTCTTAACTGTTACTGAAATTATTATTTGACGTTTGTCCACTGCCTAATTCTGTTTCGGAAAGGTCAACCAGCGAAACACCTTTATCATTATAATACTAAAGCAGAAGTAATGGCGGTTTTTGGTCGTGAATTCTGAGTTATCACAACTAGTGTCAAATACATCTCAACACATATTTGCAACAAGAAATAGATTTAATTATTTCTGTGGCATAAAAATCAGTGCCTCGCGACTCGACGAACCCTTGGAGGACAGTTTCTGCATCGTGCTTGTTGTGGAAACATTTTCCCTGCAAGAGTTATCGAGATGCTTGATGAAGTGGTAGTCGATGGCCTACAGAGTTTTGCTTTATCCCACAAACATGTCAAAATTCGCGTCTACCGACTACTTCCTCTTCAATCATCTTGACACCATCGTGCAGAGAACGCTTCACAGCCAATAGGATATAAAAAAATGCCTTTCAAGTGTTCTCAAATACTGATGCACTGATTCCTAGGCTACAGAAGTAAGCAAGCTTATTTCTTGATACACAGAGGACGTGCATAAATGCATACGTGCTTTACATGGAAATACATATCGATGTCATGTTGTACTATTCATATAAAAGCTAAAGTGAAGTGCATTAACTGTGCTTTCAGGTAAAAGTGAAGTTCATTCGCTATCTCACATGTTATTACAAGAAAGTTTGAGTAGTAAATCGAAATATTGATAGTCAGGTCCAATGCATTGTAGGTTTGTACTAAGCCATTTTTGCCTGATGTTTTTCTTTTCATGATTGAAGATGACTAAAAAACGGAAGGAAATTGTTTTATCCGAGGCAGAACTGTAGAAGACATATGCAAAGCTGAACCTAACGAAAAATGCGCCATTAACCCTGTTGCTGCCGCTGGATTCTTTGGTATTAGTAGGACAACACCTGAGCGTTCAAGAAACACACTATGATTCTTGGAACTCTCAAGGTAGGCTATAAAGATTTCCAAGTTTTTTCATACGCCTCATGACCTAAAAAGTAAGTTTTTTCAGACCAACTACGCAGTGATGGTGGGATGGAGTAATTACGACTGGCGGAGAATTTTCAATAAAATGGAGTGGTTCTTAAGGCCCTCGAAATTCTCAAAGAACTTTCATAAAACAACTGTGCATTTTAATCTGAAGTAATGCGTGATATTAAGGATGTTAGAAGTATGTATAAACGTGAGCTTATTTCACTATTTGAATTTATCACTGCTCACTCTTAATCAAAACACGTCAGTTGTACCGCTGATATCATTGATCAATAAAAACGCAAATGGGATTCTTTGAAGTCTTTAAACTTTTGATGTAGTCTGAGAGATTTCCAAGCTGTTTCGAAGTTTGGCATGCCAATGGCCAGCGTTCTCACCCGCCTCATCAAAGTCGAAAAGTCAATTGCAAGGCAATGTCCTCAATTTTTTTCTTGAGTGTCGAAGCTGATTAGCTGATTTTGACTGCACAGGCCGATTAGCTTTTTGAGATGATTTCATATTACAGAGTCGGTGGTTTTCCTACTGTGCCCTCAATCTCAACCGGGACCCCAGCACTCTTCTTTAGCCTCTACTGTAGCAGAAACGTGGCTTTTGATTTGATCAATTTAATCACTAATCGGCACATATATAGACAAATATAGGCGCAGGTATATCAGCTCGGTTAATTGTCAAGTCAGTCTATTACTGTATCCGTATCACAACTAATGTTTCTGCGCGGTCCCCTTCCACAAAGTCGCAATGATTCAAATTGAGTGTACAGTGCTGTGGAGAATAATGATGAAGTAAAAAACATTAATTGTCCATGCGCAGATAGAGACCATTTTGCAACTTACCTTCAAACTTATTTAAGAACATAAGGACTTCATCATGAAGGTATAAGTAAATAGAATGAGGTCGAGAGCCCTCAAGTGAATGCAGAAGATACAGAGTCCGCTGTGCGATTCTACGCCAGTGTTTCCATTTTTCTAACACACTTATCGCCAGTTCTCCTCGAGATGCTAAATGGCATAAGAGACTAATTAACTGAAGATCACTAACACAGTGTGTTCCTATCGCCAACATTCTACACTTAGCAGCCTTGTGACTTTTTTATGAGTTATAAGCAGAGGAAATGATGGCCTTTTTCAATTCAACTCAACAAATTTCGACCCATAGATAATTTTATTACTGGGAATGATAAGTTATTACTCAAGTTTTCTTATGCTACTATTGCTACTGCCAGTGCTATGATGTTTCAAATATATCTAAGAAAAATGCGCGGCGAGCAAAAATTCGACCTCAAACGGGAATCGAACCTGTATTTCACCCATACCAATGATGTGTGCTACCACTACACCACCGAGGCAACATTTCGTTACCACTCATTCTTGAATGTTTCTATCATGACTACCAGTAACCAACTCATCACATGCTTGGTCGGCTAAGCAATATCGCCTTATAAACACAGTTAAGGTGACAGCCATCTGACATTTAATACTCAAGATATCTTATGCTTCGATAGCTTGTGTTATGATGTTTCAAATATATTTAAGAAAACTGAGTGGTAAGCAAAACATCGACCTCAGACGGAAGTTTAACCCCCGGTATAATTGAAACAATGAGTGGTAGCGAAATGTTGCCTCGGTGCCTAGTGGTAGCAATCGTCCCTGGTTTAGATGAAACGCGGGTTCAGCTCCCAAATTCCAAATGCACAACATGTTCTTCAAGCTTGCAGGATGGCTTATTAAGTTGCTCAGAGAATGTGTATCATATATAAATAGTACAACTATTCCAAATGAAATAAAGTAGACAGAGAACTAGTAAACTGTTCAAGATTTTTCATATTTATACTGCTTTTTTGCAGTATCATGATATATCAAATATACCTAAGAAAATTGAGTGGAAAGCAAAAATTTGACCTCAGATGGGAGTTGTGCGCCATTACGGGTGAAACGCGAATTCAAGTTCCGCTTGAGGTCAAATTTCTGCTTGCCACTCAGTTCTCTTCAGTATATTCGAAGCATCATAACACTGCAGAAAAACAGTGAAAAAGAAATCTTCGATTCATATAAATACAATTGCTGTCAATTCAACTAGGTTCTTAGAGCGATATTTCTTATTCGACCAAGCTCTGTTAAAGGTTGGTAGCTGATAGCTATGATAGAGAGATGTTGAAGAATGAGTGGTGGGTGAGCGGTGGCCTCGGTGGTGTGATGCAGTGGTAGCACGCGCTACCCTTAGTGCTGGTACAACTCCCGTCTGGAATCGAAGTTTTGCTTACCACTCATTTCTCTTAGGTACTAGACTGTCATGCCAATACCAAATTGGAGGGATGAGATAATGAAATTTATGGAATTGCTGGTAGATGAGTGCGAGTGGAAGTCAATGCATAGAAGCGGCGCCGAGTGCTGAAGAGATCGTAGGACTATGTAAAATATTTTGTAACAGATAGAATAATCTTTTCCTGTGTGCCACCCCATGTCTTTCCCGCTGAATGTATATCCTTCTGCGACGGTGAAGGTCATTATGACCCTCAGCTGGGCGCCCCATTCCGACGGTTACGAAGATTGGTGCGTGCTCTAACACAAATTTGCCTTAATTGAGTTCTCAGAATATTCTCATCAAAAATGATAAAAAATCATTGATGAGGCTTTTATATAAGTATTTTTTCTAGCAAAATTGCCGCCAAAGCTTTCTTTTTTGAAAGGAAATTACATATCCTAGCGAAAAAGGAATATATTTCCACCTGTTGCTGAACGTTTTCCCTTATCTTCTTGACATTTTAAGATGTATCGATAGCTTGAAAAAATTCCATTTTGATAGTAAACTCATTGGGCACAAATACTTACATTGTACGTCCTCCCATAAGATTAAAGATAGCGTTTTGCAATCGCAGTTCAATTTTTCTAATTCTTAGCAAATTTCTGGGGATTATGAAGTGCGATTTCGACTCTTTTGAAGTTCTCTGCCAAGAGATAGAACTATTATTGAGGGAACTTTTGCAGACGTGTTTTTAAAGGCCTAAGTGTTTTAAAAATTCTCACTTTCAAAGCAGTTTCTGTTGCATCTAATCGCGCTTTGAGAATTACGCAGATAAGGTATTTTTTATCAGAGAAGACCTACTCCATTTGAATATCAGTTTTCATTCGACAGCTAAAATCAAGTGAGTATCAACAGTGCATCTTATTTCTTAAATGGTTCTTTACTTTAGAATTAAAATTTTGTTTCACATTTAAGCATTTCTCACCGGACTAAGTTTTTCTATAAACAACCAATAAGCATTCGATATCGCAAATTTCAGCGATTCCAAGACGTAGTTGATTTTTGGAGATGACTTTTTAGATCGTTATACAGTCAGAAGATTATTGGGTTTCTCACTTCCAAGGACGATATTTCGCGAGATTGGCCCCCAATTCGTCGCTTTTTGCAATATATCAATTAACTACAGAACATTAGTTTTTGACTGCTACAGTGCAATAAGGAGTTCTTTTCAAAAGCAAAAATACTATGAGAATTGTCGAGATTTAGGCTATCGAATAATTATCAAAACTCTGGCGGAAAAGCTTTGCTCAGATGCTCCAATGTAAAAGATTTCTTTATTTTTACTGTTGGAGCGCACTAAGGAAGCTATTTCAAAAATGAAGTGTGCCTCCAAAGTTGTCGAGACTTTAGATATCAAACGGATACTAGGACTTCCAAAAAATCAGAGAATGTTTTTCCCCAAAAGATTGGAATAAGATGCGGATATGAAAAGCTACAAATTTGCAAAACCCAATCTCCTTTCGAGCTTTACAGCACTCTAAGAAGTATACCCAATATGTGAAGTACTGTGCAAAAACGTTTGTCTCAGCCGGGATTCGAACCCAGATCTCACTCATTGCGGGAGCGTATGCTAACCGTTGCACTACCGACGCTTGCTTTGTACAGCACTCTTATTTACACTATAACGCGTTGTCTGCCAACAGCCAACCGTCGACGGTCTGGCGGGGCAGCCGTTACCGGCACTGAACCCACTTGTGTTGACGGACATTGGATATCGATAATCAGTCTAAATTCGGAAAGAGTGAGATCTGGGTTCGAATCCTAGCTGACGCAAACGTTTTTGCACAGTACTCCACATATTGGGTATACTATGATCATCATACCATTGCAAGTGGCAGTCAAATTAGAAAGAATTTAGACTCTGAGAAGTCTTTTGTAAAAACCATGTGCGTTGTTGGAATTGTTAGGGTTTGTCCTATTTAGTGATTATTATTTGCTTATGAAAAAACTTTTTCCGGCGTGAAATGCTTGGACGTGAAACAAAATCTAATTTCAATATATCTCATAATCATTATTTGAGCCAGCATGTCATCTGGTCTGTTAATAGGCTCTTGTACGGCCCGATACACGTGTTTTCGACCATGAGCAGCTTCGTCAATCGGCAAGCCCTTCGTCTTTAGCCAATGCTTTAGCGGTGCTCCACTCTCCCTACTTTGAGCAGGCGACGACGAATGATTTGCACGTGCCGTCAAGCAGTGCAGACACTCGATTTTTCATGGCTGTCATTCTCGAAGTATTATACTTCATTATATCTCATAATCATTTTTGAGCCAGCATGTCATGTGGTCTTCAGTGGGCTCATGTACAGTCCGATACACGTGTCCCGACCTTGAGCAGCCTGGTGAGTCGAGTATATATTGAAGTTCAAGCGTGGTCTTAAAAAAACACTCGAATGGGGAAATCTTATTTTGACTGCTATAGCACAAAACACAGGCCGTTTGATAAATAGAATATGTCATCCAAATTCAATTGATTAGTTATTGAATAATTGTCAAGAAGGTTCAGAAGGTGTAAAACTCGTTTTTACTAAACGGATAAGAAAGGCTGGACATAATGGAAAGGAATTGCAATCCTCCAGCTTTTCTCTCGCATACTATAGCTATGAATAGAAAACTTAGAAGAGATTATGTACTGTTCTGATTAATGGGAGTCTGAAGTTTACTAATAACTGAAAATTATCAAGAATTATCTATGAAGTGGGATCGTATGCAATAATTTGCCGAATTATCATTGTTTCCAACTTTTCAATCAGTATCATCAATTTTGAAGCCCTTTAGAGAATTTAGAGCTCATGTGACGCAAGGATTAGAGGTGCTCTGAGTCGCACACAAGGTTAATGGTTCGATCGCGCGCTCATAGCTCACCAAGCCATTCATCCCTCCGGGGTCGGTGAATTGATACCGGACTGGTCGCAGACTTGTCTGGGAGGATAAGCAGCACTGACTTGATACACTGGGAGGCCAACGTGAGTCATTCTGAAGGCCGGAAATGCATTTAGTTATCTCAGACAAAGTTAGAACTTGAAGAGGAATGCATGGCGCATCTCTCAGGAACTGATCAACGAAAAGAGCATTATTCTTTTAAGAGGAATTTTGTGTACTTTATGCAGTAAGGTGTGTGGAATCTAAAGGAAATACAGGAAACATTCGCTTGAAATATGGGTAAGTAAGAGTAAAATACCTCAAAAATGCTTGATAAAGGTCTCAAATATAAGCTACTGATTGATCTTCTCTTTGAAAGTGTGGATTATGAATGGAGTACTACATTATTTCTACTGAAAATAATCTTTTTGAAATCTTCTTATCATATTTGACCATTTACTGGCACAGAAATTCCACTTATTGAACGAGAACTACCACATTAGCGTTGAAGCACGCACCGGCAGCCTCTCTTCCTAGCAGTCCGGACAGCCCGCCAGCCGAAAATCGCGCAGTCTTCGAAAGAATATCGTATCGCACCCCGTCGTTATGTCCTCGTAATACGAATCAATCCATTTGATCGGGCCACGCGTCTCTATAGATCCATGATAGATATCGATTCGCTGAAATGTCACCGATACCTCGTGTTTTTCACTTCGGTCGGCGCCTCTTAGGCACTATTCGATCGCTCAATACGTCATCGATCAGCTATCACTGCCGTTCACGCGGCGCTCGCAAGACAGTCAAGCCCCGCCTCTTCTCAAAACAGATATAAGACCCTTTTCTGAAGTATTTTGAATCTTCATTGCGAGGTTTTAAAAACAGTTGATACCATGGATCAATTTTGTTCTACCAGCAGAGATCCACCGACTGAGAAGTGGTGATGGACCAGTGTCATTGTACACTGTGCCGTCACCACATGTGCCTCCCTCCTTGCTACAATGCATGGTTAAAGTGGTGTGTGGGTCATTAACGAGGAGGGCGAGACCTCCGAAACACCGGTGTATGGCCCTGGCGTAGCAACTTCGCTTAGGCTCTAGGCAATCTTTTTTTAAATCAATTTGAAGTTTATTGCGAGGTTTCAAAAGCAGTCGATGCCATGGATCAATATATGAGACCGCTACTCGGCTGCTAACATCCTTTGGCGCGCGTCATTTTGAAATTTCCACTGGCCTTTGGCTACTTTGATTCAGCTGCCTCACTTTTTGTTGTCAGCTTACTGCGGGATCTAACCTTCGTTTCTCGCTTGATGTCAACCCTTTCTTGTCACGGTATCTGTACGTGCAATCTTTTTCCTTTTTTTTTTTGTAAGTGTTCTTGAAAATATGTGTACTACATTTTGTTCATAAGCCGTACCATGCCTAGTGTTTTGTCACGTGAATATTACTGATATACTTGATGTTCCTATTGCAAGAACTTTTACTTTTTGATACTCTATTGATCCATTTTCACAGTGTTTTTTTTTTCAAACCATGCGGATCTCAGTACTTCTAGCATTCAATGCCTTTGATTGTCTTCTTCTTGAACGTCACAGAATACTGGATGAGAGTGTCTCTTTGCAATCTCGATCATAGCCTGGCTGTGGCGTTCCACAGGGCGCTGTTGTTGGCTGCCGGAAGTAGTTGGGATATAACTCGGCTCCACGCGTGCCGCGACGAGCATCACAACCACTCGGCAACGGTGTCCCGGTGACGAACAACACATGAAATTAGAAATATTAATCAAAATTTTTCTGTTACCACTTATCAGTCTATTTTTGAATATTGTCTTGCGTTCAGTGGAAACACCTCTTGTAATGAGAGAAAATTTCCATTATGGTCAGCCAAATTCATCAGTCATGTATATAAATACAACCTAGGTGGTTTCCACTTCATTGAAAAATCCGATTTATAGTCAAACAATTGTATTTTTTGTTTATTCTCTTACGTTTTCTCTCCTTTTCTCTTCCCTTATACTTTTTTCTGTTCCAACTTTTTCTCCTTCTGAGAGCCTTTCTTGTTTCCCTTGCTTATAAATTCTTTCTATCCTCACTATCTTCAGCTATTCATTCATTCACTCACTGTGAACTTCCAATCCCATGTCTTTTCTTCGACATGAATTGCGTAGCAGTTCGGACATTCAAGCTATGCTAATCAACTGGAAGCGACAGACAGCTGATGCATATTGTTAGCTTTTGGGTTCTCACCTTTAGTACTTCATATTCCGCTTAGTTGGAAAGTGAATGAGTATACCGACTAGATTTTTGAGCGTTCAATGACTTTATGCCTGGAAACCAAGATGAGCATGAAAGTGGCCTTTTCGACCGAAAAACATTCCCAACAGAAGAAGTCATGTTCGACTTAATATAGCTGAAAAAACACTGCCGTTTGAATTTGTTAGAATACTTTCCGGATTAAGCAAGCTCATATTTAGGTTTATCAGTTTTACAAAGCTAGTACATTTTAGCTGAGCAAAAATTAGTTATTTTAGAGGCTGTTATCGACACTAGAAGCTTTATGGCTAGTCAAGATAAAATTACCCATTTCTAAGAAAAGGTATTTTCGATGCGACTATGTAGACACTGGGAAACTCGCCTGGCTGGTAATGCATCGTTAGTGTTTTCTGAATTCTCTTTAAACGATGTAGCGACCTGATTTCTCTGTGCTTTTCAAAATTTGAATTTCAGGTGATGATTCAGGAAATTTATGTGGGTCATTAGCGACATCGGGATTTTTTTCTCTATAAATCTGTCAAGTCCCTTATCGAGAAACTGAATAGGGTCACCATGTATTTTCTCCTTAACATTGTTTTTGTTTGAAGGTGTACCCATTTTCTGTCAAATTATAGAAAAAACCTCAGGTAGTCCATTATCTAACCCAATATTTTTGTAGCTACAGCAGTATATTATATTATATTGATAATTATATTATAATACTATTATTTACAGTCAGGTCCATTTAATTCTTTTAATTATGGCTATTTGATTCAATCAGCAATAACTTATATTTGACAGATAATTGCGGTGTTATGGTGTTTTTATATACCCAATAATGTAGAGGGCTGTGCAAAAATGTTTTCGTCAGCCGGGATTTAAGCCCACATCTCACTCTTTCCGGGAGCTTATGCTAACCGTTGCACCACCGACGCTCGTTTTGCACAGCACGTGCTAATTGATTCGATAACTTATTAAAAAATGCTGATTACATCGGATCGGTAAGTATAAGTAAGTTACATGCGACAGCTCTGTGTAAAACTTGTTATGGGAATCAACTTTCTTATAATTTTGGCATTGAGCAAATAATTCCGTATATTTCTTGCTGAAGAGACCGGGAGTCGTCAGCAATACAAATTGCTCAGTACATTAAAGAAAATAGTAATTGCTGATATTTTGGCGGTTTCGACTTTTCCAGACCCTAAGAGAGTCAAATTGGCGTGCAATCCTCTCAGCTAATCACCTTCATAACCAATGGAAAGAGGGTAGAAGAGGGAAGATGTTGAAGGAGAGGCAACCGTCCTCACCCATAATTATTACGCTTCAGTAAGTAAAACTGTCGCTAAAGTCAGTACTGATATGTTGGATGGCGACAAATAAAAAAACCAGTTCCTTTCGCTGGACCAGAACTTTCATAACACTGTTTGCAATCATCCAAAAGCTTTAATCTCTTGCTGGAGCTGTTCTAGCCGGTATTCGAAAA